AAGGTCAACAATATATTTTTATTATATGTACATGAGTACGATTTCAACTTGTTTTATATACTGTAAATATACGTGATTTTATCTGATTGTCATCAACAATTTGTTGTTTTCGTATAATAGAAAATTATTGCAACATATACTGAATATATACGTTTAATGTACATTTAATATACACTATTAACATGTTGCAATGCTAAAAAATAAACAAAAAGCAGTTCAATAAGTAAAAAATACGTGTGTTTGGCGAAATATGTTTTCACTATTGTGGAATTTGTGTATATCAAGAAGAAAAATCGTTTGTAATTAAAATTCATAATCTTTCCTATTTGTATTGAACAAACTCCTAATTAATAGGAGAGAGAGAGAGGGAGAACGAGAGAGAGAGAGAGAGAGAGAGAGAGAGACGTACCTCCACAAATTAAGGAAAAGTTTCATTTCAGTTTGGTAACTGAAATCCTGGCATTTTTTAATTTATTACCATGTAGTTGGTAAAAATGCAATAAAATATATGTCCATGATATATTTACAATTACTTTCAATCCGTTAAGTAAAGATAAAATTTTCCCTATTAAATAATCTATCTACAATATAATTAGACAACATATTTACTAAAAGTAGAAAGTTTTTCAGTTGGTCCCATTAAATCTATATATATTGAAAGAAGTAAGTAATTAATTCATTTGAGGAAAATTTCAAAATTTTGGTCAAGAATGTTTTGACTTTCCATTTGTAGAAAATCTTAATAAAATCCGAAAAAAAAAAATTATTTTTTCATAAATGTGCCTTCTTCCTTTAGCTAGCGGCATTCCTTTCAGTTTGATACTAATCCATGCAAGCCCTATGGTAGTGATGGTTGGTGCGCAACAACTGATCGAGATGCGGACCTATTCAAGATCCAATTGCACGGTCGAAAATAAGCAGTTAATGAAGCCAGTGAACCTATTGATCCGCTCATAGCGACCCTATTTAGGTATAGATCCCGTATCAGGGGGAAAGACTTCCACTTGACACCTATCGTAATGATAAACGGCTCGTCTCGCCGTGACCTTCTCTTGAATTCTCAAGACTTCTGTCGCTCCATGCCCGCAGGGGTAGAGTAAACAGCATTGACTAGTGAATAGCCCAGCTAACATCAATGGACTTAGAGGAATGATACATTGGAAGAATCAGTTGGTTCTTCCAATATCAATAGGTTGATTGTTTCGCTCCTCTACTGCGTTACTCAAGCCGACATTCTCGCTTCCGCTTCGTCCACCGTCGCTCGCGCGTCCTAACGTCAGCGTCGGATATGGAAAATATACCTTGGCCTTTTCTTCCTTTCTTGAGGACCAAAGCCGATCTTCAAATTTTCGAACCAAATCCACAACTTACTTATCGCTTAATTATCTAACCAATTCGGTAATTTGCTGTTTATTAGGGAATGTGCTTTAATTTTCATAAATAAATCCAATCCTTAATTATCGCTTAATTTTCTAACCAAAATTATGCATTAATTTATTTAGACGGTTTATTAGGGAATAACACTACCAACAAACCTAATCTACATAATATCCTAACAAATTGATTCCTTTTTTTCCGTTCAGATAACCAAAGAAACACAATATAAAATTTTATTCAGTGATAACAGAAATTAAAATGTTCTTCGATTGCCAGGTTCTCCGTACACTACAATAACAGAAATTACAAAACACAAACATTATTCTATGGAACCATTCTGGGGTACACTGGACGCCGTCAACAGAACCAACAAACCATATTTGACGTTGAGAGTTGCCCTACTGCTTGAAACTCATCATGGTGAAGAGGATCGGAATGCTTTTCATATCCTGTTTCATGACGAAGGGGTAATAATTTTTGTCTATTTTATCAATAACATAATTATTGTAATATATAATATCAAATTTCAAGAAATTTTCGAGATTTTTTTAATATTTTTTTTATTTAAAATATGTAGGGTTCATACATGAAAGGAATAATACGTTCACCGCATATGAGCAGATTTCGAGTTCTACTTAAACAAGGCGAGGTATATGATATTCGCAACTACGATGTTGAATATAATAGTGGGAGGAATGATATTACAACAAAACCTTGGAAACTTCGAATTCATGGAAGTACGGACGTGATCAAATACAAAGCGAATTTTCCTCAATACAAGCTACGAAAAATTTATGGTCAAGGTTGTATTTCTTAGTTTTTTATCAAATATTAATTTATTTATTTTTTTTGAATTTATGATATGTTGAATATTGGCAACACTTTTATTCCATGTCATTTTCTATGCGTATTGGATATTTGTTAAAATTTATTGGTAATAAATTTCGTATTACTTCATTTATTATTCATATTAGTTCATTTATTATTTGATTAAGTAATTACATGCGACTGTTTTAATCTGAATTTGGAAGATATAATCTGAATTTTTTTTCACAACGTGAAATTGATATAATACAATTTAAATATATTTAAATAAAGGTATTAAAATTTTATGTTTAACTTTTATTCAATATACTCACGATATTAAAATTAGCAATTTCAATGTTTCGAAGATGTAATCTAATTTTTCTAAAACAATGTGAAATTGATATAATACAATAATTTAAATATATTTAAAATAAAGGCATTAAAATTGATATAATACAATAATTAAGGCATATTTGGTGTTATACTCCGAAACAAGAGTAACACCCCGAAACAAGAAAATTAAATATTTTTAGTTTGTATCAGAAAATATAATCTGATATTTTCAATATCAGAAAATATAATCCGAAATTTTCTAACAGAAATATAATGTCAAATTTTGTTAGGATATATAATATACAGGTTGTTGAAATCTCTTTTGTTGAACAGAATCCATTAGTAAATCAAATTCTTGAAACATAAAACCTCTTTCCATTTAGAAATTTAAATATGTGTTTCAAGAAAAAAAAAACATTCCTATGATAAACATGTTCCCATATTCATCTAGATATCTACCTAATTAAAAATTTCAAAAATAATATCTTTTACAAATAATTTATAGTATATTATATTATTAAATCTAAATATTCCGTATAATA